AAGTAAAGCAAATCCTGTACACAAAGTAACATCTTTAAATGTAGACTGCTCAAAATAGACACTGCTTTGTTTAATTTTTACAGTCTTGGCAGTCTCTCAAATAGCTTTATGAATTAGTCACCTGAAATGCTTTTCCAACTGTCTTGAAAGATTTCCCACGTGTTGAGTTCCTTCTGGCTGCTTTTCCTACATTCTGCAGTCCATCTCATCCCAAACCTTCTCAGTTGAGTTTAGGGCAAGTGAGTGTGGAGGCAAGGTCAGCTAATGTAGCACTTCATCACTCTCATTTGTGGTAAAACAGCTGTGACCTGGGCCATTGTCCTGTTGAAGGGGGGAAAATGGTACCATTGAGCACAAATCAAATTGGATGGCATGTTGTGGCCGCACTGGTTAAGTGTGCCTTGAAGTTTGAACAAATCATAAACAGCATCACACCTCCTCACCCATGTTTTACAGTGGGATGCACATACGCAGGTACTGTCCAATCATCTTCTCTGCATCTTACAAGGACAGTGGTTGTCCATTTCTTGACCCAACCAGGTCTCCGTCAGTAGTGGTTTCCTGACAGCAATTTTACCACAAATGCTTGACAGTTAATATTGACATTTCTGCTCCTTGAACTCTGGGAGGCACTGATGTGGGCTTTATTCTATGTATTGTTAATTGGCGATTCCTGTGGCTGGTTCCTTGAATGAACCTATTCTCTGCAGCAAAGGAAACTCTTGCTCTTCTTTCTTTTCCTGGCATAGCAGGAAATAATGGCATTTGATTTGTTTTACAAGTGCACTTGAATAAACTTGTACTTCAGTAGTCAAATAGGGTGATGCACTTGAATAAACTTGTACTTCAGTAGGGTACAAGTCAAATAGGGTGATTTGCTGTATATTGCTGTTATTAACAGTAGTATAAAGTGCTGAAATCAGAGGAGTTTACCTTTTATATGCACTAATTTCACCAGTGCCCGTTAACATCCATTTTGTATGTTTGAAGATTTAAAAATGTTGCAAGTGGCAAGACCATAAGAAATAAAAAAATCTTGAACAAAACCCTTTATTTTTTTTATTCAATCCATAAAGCCAAAGCTTACTTTGAGTAATTTGATAGTTTTCATCGCTGGTCATTTCTGTCGGTACCAAAATGTTTTGTTGACTAATATGTAAATGTCTTTGCTCTCACAGCTGGAGATGGAGGACGAGGACACTATTGATGTATTTCAACAACAGACGGGAGGTGTTTATTCCTAAGTGGAATGTGCACTCTACTCTTGGAAGAACCCCATGCACCACATCCTCACATTTTTTTCATGCTGTATTTGTTTTTTTCTATTTTACTTGTCGTCGTCCCCACCCCCACTGTGCTTGGCTAAACATCAGGTTGTCCACAACAGTAACAAAGGTGGAGTTTTTTCACTGGAAGGCAGATCCTGATGTGAGATGCAGGTTACATTGTTTTTGGTTTTTTTAATGGGTTTTATTCATAAAAATGTATGAAATTTTTTTTTTTTTTTTAATGGTTGAAGTCAGGGGCAGGTCTCAAATCAGGTATGTCATGTAATGAAAAAACGCTGTTGCTGTTGAAACAACATCCTGCATGTCTCAGATAATGAGCTGAAGTACATGCCAAGCTTTTAAAAAAACATTTTTCCAGGTTGTAAGCATCCAAAGCCAGGTGGGCTCAGTTATTTTAATTAATGCACCTCTCATATGAAAA